ATTGATAAGTGGATTAAGTATGAATTGTTTCAACTAAAACATATCTTATTTTTCACCATCAATCATTGATATTTTTTCAGGTATTTGAGTTTTCTAGATCAAATGAATTTATATTCCGTTGGGAAATAGGCTATTAAATAACTTGTTTGTTTGTGATTAAAAGTAATTCAATGTATTTAAACAGCATGAAGTGCAGAAGGTCTTACATTTAAATAGTATATTTTGAGAAAAAATCTGAAATAAATCAGATTACTAGTATTAAAAAACAGAGAAATAAATTATCTCAAACAAACAGTATGATCGCCTAATGAGCTCGTACTTAGTTAAGTTATCAGTGTTTCATAGACCCTAATCAAACACAAACCATTCAAAATGTTTTCCAGAAATTTGAATTCCAATATTTTAAGCAGTTTACCACCAGAATTGTTTTCGTCCAACACCAAGCTTCAGTTTATGTAAGTATAATATCAATTTAACCTCTTAATATTATTTCAAAAAGTATTGTAGAAAGTATCATAAAAATCCATGAAAATGCCCATCTACATATCTGTTACCTTAACTGCATGTTTAACATCAACACAAATTTTCAAATGGGGTGTTTTATAAATTATTTTTGAACATACAACTTAACATGAAAGGAGACTTTTTGGAACATAGACGGTTCTGAAAGTAGCACCCTTGAATTGTTACCATTTTACATTAAACATTATCTCTTTCAAGTCTTTTAGGTCTCAATGGATAAGGAATTTCCAAAAGATGATGATTTAAAAAAAAAAACGTTCCTATCATCAAACAATTTATAACGAGAGGAGTTATTTTTCATTTTAATTACTAAGATCGCCTTACACGTTGAATTTTACAATTTGTTAGAATTGAAATGAACTTATTTTAAAACAAATCATTTTTTTTCCAGACTTCTTTTTGACAATGTTTTAAGCAGCTTACCAGTAGAGTTGTTTTCCACAAACATAAACCTGGAGTCTATTTAAGTTTACTGTATACTTAACTTTATTTAATTTTTAGTATAGCTTCAAATGAAATTTGTTATTCACTAATTTCGTGCTCACCTCAAGTGACATATTTCGTCTTTTTTGTCCCAGACGGAGACACCTTATAAGGGAATTATAATTGATTAAGCTGTTTGTCCGCCACAAAAGTCGTATTACGGAATTATACTAAATACTAGTTAGTTTGGAATAAGAACAATGTGTCTGATTGAGATGATTAGTCTTTGGATTGTGACTAAGAAAGCTAGCAAGTATAAAGATGAGCCTCAGTTAGTCGGTCCTGTAATACAATCAATGTTTCTACATATTACCTTTATTATAATCAAGAGGGGCCTCGTGGCCAAGTGGTCTAAGTGGTTTCACTACTGTAATCACCAGCCAGTCAACACTAAGGTTGTGAGTACGAATCCCGCTCGTGCGGGTACACTCGACTCCAATCTTAATTGACTAGAATTGTCAGTTTTTCTATCGAAGGTCGGTGGTTTTCTCCAGGCACTCCAGCTTCCTTCTACCATAAAAAAAACTGACCGCCACGAAATAGCCCAAAAGTAGCGCTTAAATGTGGCATTAAAACACCAACAATCAATCAATCATTATCATCAAGAGTATCATCAGCTCAGCAGTTAGATCTTTGATAGTATTTATATTGTTTTATGTTTAGATTCCCTATTGTTAAAATTTAGAAATTATTTAGATGTGTAGGCTCCAAATCCCTCAGGTAAAGTGACCTCTAGATAACTTTTTTAATTCTTTTTCATAGATTTAAGAAGATGTGGTATGAGTGCTAATGAGACAAATTTCCTTCCAAGTTACCACAATTTGCAAAAGTAAACCATTATTGGTCAAAGTACGGTCTTCAACACGGAGCCTTGGCTCACACCGAACAGCAAGCTATAAAGAGCCCGTAAAATGACTAGTGTAAAACCATTCAAACAGGAAAACCAACGGCCTAATCTATATAAAAAACGAGAAACATTTATGAATCCCATCGACAAACGACAACCACAGTCTATTTTTGTCATATTGCTTAAAAAAAATCTTAATGTTAAAATGGTAATACTTATATATCATGTTCATACATGATTGGCTTTAAAATTTATTATTCTTTATACTCAGGTTTCCAAATTTTGACAGTAAAAGTTTTAACACTTTCAACAATTTTATATCTCCGGCATATAAATGTAAAGATTTTTCTTTTAGCAGTAGTACATACGTTAATGATTATTTTGGTAGATAAATCTACTTCTGTCATCGAACAAATATTTCTAAAATGAAAAGTGAAATAATGTTCATCGTACGAAATTGATAAGTGGATTAAGTATGAATTGTTTCAACTAAAACATATCTTATTTTTCACCATCAATCATTGATATTTTTTCAGGTATTTGAGTTTTCTAGATCAAATGAATTTATATTCCGTTGGGAAATAGGCTATTAAATAACTTGTTTGTTTGTGATTAAAAGTAATTCAATGTATTTAAACAGCATGAAGTGCAGAAGGTCTTACATTTAAATAGTATATTTTGAGAAAAAATCTGAAATAAATCAGATTACTAGTATTAAAAAACAGAGAAATAATTTATCTCAAACAAACAGTATGATCGCCTAATGAGCTCGTACTTAGTTAAGTTATCAGTGTTTCATAGACCCTAATCAAACACAAACCATTCAAAATGTTTTCCAGAATTTTGAATTCCAATATTTTAAGCAGTTTACCACCAGAATTGTTTTCGTCCAACACCAAGCTTCAGTTTATGTAAGTATAATATCAATTTAACCTCTTAATATGATTTCAAAAAGTATTGTAGAAAGTATCATAAAAATCCATGAAAATGCCCATCTACATATCTGTTACCTTAACTGCATGTTTAACATCAACACAAATCTTCAAATGGGGTTTTTTATAAATTATTTTTGAACATACAACTTAACATGAAAGGAGACTTTTTGGAACATAGACGGTTCTAAAAGTAGCACCCTTGAATTGTTACCATTTTACATTAAACATTATCTCTTTCAAGTCTTTTAGGTCTCAATGGATAAGGAATTTCCAAAAGATGATGATTTAAAAAAAAAACGTTCCTATCATCAAACAATTTATAACGAGAGGAGTTATTTTTCATTTTAATTACTAAGATCGCCTTACACGTTGAATTTTACAATTTGTTAGAATTGAAATGAACTTATTTTAAAACAAATCATTTTTTTTCCAGACTTCTTTTTGACAATGTTTTAAGCAGCTTACCAGTAGAGTTGTTTTCCACAAACATAAACCTGGAGTCTATTTAAGTTTACTGTATACTTAACTTTATTTAATTTTTAGTATAGCTTCAAATGAAATTTGTTATTCACTAATTTCGTGCTCACCTCAAGTGACATATTTCGTCTTTTTTGTCCCAGACGGAGACATCTTATAAGGGAATTATAATTGATTAAGCTGTTTGTCCGCCACAAAAGTCGTATTACAGAATTATACTAAATACTAGTTAGTTTGGAATAAGAACAATGTGTCTGATTGAGATGATAAGTCTTTGGATTGTGACTAAGAAAGCTAGCAAGTATAAAGATGAGCCTCAGTTAGTCGGTCCTGTAATACAATCAATGTTTCTACATATTACCTTTATTATAATCAAGAGGGGCCTCGTGGCCAAGTGGTCTAAGTGGTTTCACTACTGTAATCACCAGCCAGTCAACACTAAGGTTGTGAGTACGAATCCCGCTCGTGCGGGTACACTCGACTCCAATCTTAATTGACTAGAATTGTCAGTTTTTCTATCGAAGGTCGGTGGTTTTCTCCGGGCACTCCAGCTTCCTTCTACCATAAAAAAAACTGACCGCCACGAAATAGCCCAAAAGTAGCGCTAAAATGTGGCATTAAAACACCAACAATCAATCAATCATTATCATCAAGAGTATCATCAGCTCAGCAGTTAGATCTTTGATAGTATTTATATTGTTTTATGTTTAGATTCCCTATTGTTAAAATTTAGAAATTATTTAGATGTGTAGGCTCCAAATCCCTCAGGTAAAGTGACCTCTAGATAACTTTTTTAATTCTTTTTCATAGATTTAAGAAGATGTGGTATGAGTGCTAATGAGACAAATTTCCTTCCAAGTTACCACAATTTGCAAAAGTAAACCATTGTTGGTCAAAGTACGGTCTTCAACACGGAGCCTTGGCTCACACCGAACAGCAAGCTATAAAGAGCCCGTAAAATGACTAGTGTAAAACCATTCAAACAGGAAAACCAACGGCCTAATCTATATAAAAAACGAGAAACATTTATGAATCCCATCGACAAACGACAACCACAGTCTATTTTTGTCATATTGCTTAAAAAAAATCTTAAAGTAAAAATGGTAATACTTATATATCATGTTCATACATAATTGACTTTAAAATTTATTATTCTTTTTACTCAGGTTTCCAAATTTTGACAGTAAAAGTTTTAACACTTTCAACAATTTTATATCTCCGGCATATAAATGTAAAGATTTTTCTTTTAGCAGTAGTACATACGTTAATGATTATTTTGGTAGATAAATCTACTTCTGTCATCGAACAAATATTTCTAAAATGAAAAGTGAAATAATGTTCATCGTACGAAATTGATAAGTGGATTAAGTATGAATTGTTTCAACTAAAACATATCTTATTTTTCACCATCAATCATTGATATTTTTTCAGGTATTTGTGTTTTCTAGATCAAATGAATTTATATTCCGTTGGGAAATAGGCTATTAAATAACTTGTTTGTTTGTGATTAAAAGTAATTCAATGTATTTAAACAGCATGAAGTGCAGAAGGTCTTACATTTAAATAGTATATTTTGAGAAAAAATCTGAAATAAATCAGATTACTAGTATAAAAAAACAGAGAAATAATTTATCTCAAACAAACAGTATGATCGCCTTATGAGCTCGTACTTAGTTAAGTTATCAGTGTTTTTCATAGACCCTAATCAAACACAAACCATTCAAAATGTTTTCCAGAAATTTGGGTTCCAATATTTTAAGCAGTTTACCACCAGAATTGTTTTCGTCCAACACCAAGCTTCAGTCTTTGTAAGTATAATATCAATTTAACCTCTTAATATGATTTCAAAAAGTATTGTAGAAAGTATCATAAAAATCCATGAAAATGCCCATCTACATATCTGTTACCTTAACTGCATGTTTAACAACAACACAAATCTTCAAATGGGGTTTTTTATAATTTATTTTTGAACATACAACTTAACATGAAAGGAGACTTTTTGGAACATAGACGGTTCTAAAAGTAGCACCCTTGAATTGTTACCATTTTACATTAAACATTATCTCTTTCAAGTCTTTTAGGTCTCAATGGATAAGGAATTTCCAAAAGATGATGATTTAAAAAAAAAACGTTCCTATCATCAAACAATTTATAACGAGAGGAGTTATTTTTCATTTTAATTACTAAGATCGCCTTACACGTTGAATTTTACAATTTGTTAGAATTGAAATGAACTTATTTTAAAACAAATCATTTTTTTTCCAGACTTCTTTTTGACAATGTTTTAAGCAGCTTACCAGTAGAGTTGTTTTCCACAAACATAAACCTGGAGTCTATTTAAGTTTACTGTATACTTAACTTTATTTAATTTTTAGTATAGCTTCAAATGAAATTTGTTATTCACTAATTTCGTGCTCACCTCAAGTGACATATTTCGTCTTTTTTGTCCCAGACGGAGACATCTTATAAGGGAATTATAATTGATTAAGCTGTTTGTCCGCCACAAAAGTCGTATTACGGAATTATACTAAATACTAGTTAGTTTGGAATAAGAACAATGTGTCTGATTGAGATGATAAGTCTTTGGATTGTGACTAAGAAAGCTAGCAAGTATAAAGATGAGCCTCAGTTAGTCGGTCCTGTAATACAATCAATGTTTCTACATATTACCTTTATTATAATCAAGAGGGGCCTCGTGGCCAAGTGGTCTAAGTGGTTTCACTACTGTAATCACCAGCCAGTCAACACTAAGGTTGTGAGTACGAATCCCGCTCGTGCGGGTACACTCGACTCCAATCTTAATTGACTAGAATTGTCAGTTTTTCTATCGAAGGTCGGTGGTTTTCTCCGGGCACTCCAGCTTCCTTCTACCATAAAAAAAACTGACCGCCACGAAATAGCCCAAAGTAGCGCTTAAATGTGGCATTGAAACACCAACAATCAATCAATCATTATCATCAAGAGTATCATCAGCTCAGCAGTTAGATCTTTGATAGTATTTATATTGTTTTATGTTTAGATTCCCTATTGTTAAAATTTAGAAATTATTTAGATGTGTAGGCTCCAAATCCCTCAGGTAAAGTGACATCTAGATAACTTTTTTAATTCTTTTTCATAGATTTAAGAAGATGTGGTATGAGTGCTAATGAGACAAATTTCCTTCCAAGTTACCACAATTTGCAAAAGTAAACCATTATTGGTCTAAGTACGGTCTTCAACACGGAGCCTTGGCTCACACCGAACAGCAAGCTATAAAGAGCCCGTAAAATGACTAGTGTAAAACCATTCAAACAGGAAAACCAACGGCCTAATCTATATACAAAACGAGAAACATTTATGAATCCCATCGACAAACGACAACCACAGTCTATTTTTGTCATATTGCTTAAAAAAAATCTTAATGTAAAAATGGTAATACTTATATATCATGTTCATACATGATTGGCTTTAAAATTTATTATTCTTTATACTCAGGTTTCCAAATTTTGACAGTAAAAGTTTTAACACTTTCAACAATTTTATATCTCCGGCATAGAAATGTACGGATTGTTCTTTTAGCAGTAGTACATACAGTTAATGGTGAATTTAGTAGATAAATCTACTTCTGTCATCGAACAAATTTTTCTAAAATGAAAAGTGAAATAATGTTCATCTTACGAAATTGTGACCTTGATAAATCAAATTGAGAATGGAAATGGGGAATATGTCAAAGAGACAACAACCCGACCAAAGAGTGAAGATAACAGCCGAAGTCCACCAATGGGTTTTCAATGCAGCGAGAAAATCCCACACCAGGAGGTGGGCCTCAGCTGGCCCCTAACTAAAGAGGTGTGCTAGTTCAGTGAAAATGGAAATTATACTCATCTCCAAAACATATAAATGAACTTAAATTAAAAATCATACAAGACTAACAAAGGCCACAGTCGCAAAAATCCGGCGGGGTTAAACATGTTTTGTGAGATCTCAACCCTCCCCCTATACCCCTAGCTAATGTAGAATAAACAAACACACAATATACACAGTAAAACATAGTTTAAAATAAGTCCGTGTCCGATGTCAGAATAGGTAAAAGAAGTAACAAAGCAAAATGACAATGATACATAAATTAACGAAGGACTACTAGCAGTTACTGACATGCCAGCTCCAGACCTCTTTTAAACTGATTGAAAGACTTTGTCTTCATCATATGGAAATCAAGCACAATCCCTCCCGTTAGGGGTTTAGAATCATACTATCATAAGATTAATGAGAGAACATAACCAGTATCATGGCAACAACTAGTTTAAGAATAAATGTGCAAAGACCCTATGAGTGAATCAATATCAATACCAACATATGCCATCTTTAATGGCCTGACAACAGTATCGTAACTATATCACTTCTGAATAAGTCTGTTTAAAGGTTTGGTTAGCTTTGAGGTGAATGCCGAAATGTTTGTGCTTTGTAAAGAATACTACCATAAAAGATTAAATGTGAAATACCTGAACAAGATGTCTGCATGTTGATTTATATTTACGAATGATGTCCTTGTACCGATGATAAAATAATGGTGTAATAATTTTCAGTAATACAGAGATTTATTTCGTTAAAATCAAATACGTTGTTACATACACGAGGGAATCGAACGAGTTGAGATATATAAACACCATAAGATGGTGATAAGGGAACGTCACCATCTAAAAATGGATAATTAACAATAGGAAATGAAAAATCATACATCTCTTTTATCATACATTTTGGTATTGAGCTTCCCGTTAAAGATATATATATATATATCAAGATCCAGAAAAGGGCAGCGATTATTGTTAATATAAGGGACCGTGCAATATTTATCAGGCAGGTGGGACCGGTTTGAACAATAGTAGGACAAACACATTTTTCATCCACTTCAGGCATAAGGTCTCCACTTTGTTCACCTTTGGTGGCCATAGGACATGAAGATTTATTCACTTTCGCTATCAAACAAAAAACAATAATATTAGGAAGGCGCTACCTTAAATGCCAGCTTTTAAGCAAGCCAATAAGTTACTATGTCCCTACATATAGTTTTTGTCTGAAATAAAAAAATAAGTTCAGATGGAATATTTTAGGGTTCAAATTGTTTTCTGCTGAAAATAATTTTATTGGTGATTTATCTAAATGACAATGCTTTAAATACATTCATTATCTTGTGCCATTTTCATATCCATTTTTATTTCTTTGCAAATATTACAATTTTAAATTTAAAACAATAAGACATTTGTTTAATTTCAAAACTACAAATACAATCCATAACTTTATTAAACTGTTGATTTCCATGAAGAGGTCGAGGATTTGAAATGTCTATCTCATCAGTATTTAATAGTTGTAGCTGTTTGTTCTAAATATTTCTACTTTCTAAATAGGCTGGGCCATATCGGCATATGTGTTCATATTGTATTCCCAGTTTCCTCCACTCATATATATTTGATCAGCAAGAGGATCATGCTGAAAGTTGAAAGAAAGTTTGAATTTACAGTGAGCCTGTTTGGAATATTGTTTGAGCAGGTTTTCATTTTCATTTTAGCCCAAAATCTTAAAAAAGGATTAAGTTGACGAATTAAAATTTTGCAAGTTTCTTGGAAGCTATTTGAAATTTGTGGGGAGACACTGCTCATGATCAACTTTTTAAAGTGTTTTTTTTTACATCAATTCATATACTAATTCAGTCAGTTTTATGTAAATTTCTTGCTTTTTGGTTTGTAGCTAATTTTTTTGTGGTATACTTTCTTTATAATTTTTTGCTTTTTGTTTGGTACTTCTTTTTCTTTTGGTCATGAAAATTTATTTGTAGTGGTGAAGTTGGTATAGCCATAATTTCTTTAAAGGGTTAAAATGTGCACCTGCTAAAAGTAAATCCACATCCGGTAGATTGAAACTGTTAAGATCAGGTTTAAACTTACAGGTGACTGCGGAAGCCAAATATTCTGGCAGCAGCTTGATATTCACTGGATGTAGCACACATGCTACCAAATAAACTCATCATAGATACCAGGATTGAAATTTTATATTTACGCCAGACGCGCGTTTCGTCTACAAAAGACTCATCAGTGACCAAGTAACATGCCCTGTATATACCTATCAAAAGTCATGGTATAATCATGTGTTATCATAACTCTATCTTCCCATGCAATCCAATTTTGGACAATATGGGAGCATTATTGCAATATACCTATATGTATCACTCAGATTTAAGTCTATATTTATGATTTTTTGCTTATCTTTAATGTTTTATCATAGACATACATGTATTTTCATATTCATACGAATTAACTCATTTTCAACAATTTACAGACAAAATAAAAATGGACATTAAAAGCAAGTATTAATCATCAAATGAACAAATTAATTGAAGAAACCTTTCTTTTCAAGGTGAACTTGCACTTTTTTTTAAACATAGGAACATATCTGATATCATCTGTGAAATGATAAATGTTTAAAAATGTTATTAATTTAGAATTAAGGCAAAATTTGACATTAAGGGACAATAACTCTTAGACTAGTAAGCATATTATCAAATGCAGAATTACCAATTATTGTCTAAATAACAGAGCATGTTTATATTACAAATATACAATGTTATTTTATCTATCTTAGTTTTCAAGAAAGAAATTATTGTCTTTTTAAAACAAAGGCAGCATGTTTTTGACTATGATGAGTCAAAAATGAAAATTGTAGCCTTATTTGCTTTCTAATATAAGCATAGAATTTGACAGAAATAAACCAAATAACTTGTCATTTTGTAAGATCAATATAAAATTTAAATAGCTGTAGAGTTTTATGTATATCACAGTTGATTTGGGAAAGTTATACAAATTTTTAAAGGTGACATTATTTATCTGAATTTAGTCCAAACTGAAAATTCTAGATTTTGTTTTAACCTATTAATGAAATCCTTAAATTTTGACAGCAATAGACCATTAACTAATAAACAACCTTGCATTCTGTAAGATCAATATATAATTGAGATTGTTTTAGAGTAATAAAAAAAATCCAAGTTGATTTGAAAAATTTATACACATTTTAAAAGTGACTATCTGAATTTAGTCCAACTGAAAAATCTAGCTGTTTTTACCTATTAATTAAATTCTTAAATTTGACTGCAATGAACTAAACTACCAAATAACCTGGAATTTCGTAGGATCAATATATAATTGAGATAGTTGGGCTGATTCATACCAGTCGAGACTACATTAAAAGGTCAAGACAGTTTGAAACTGGCCGCGACTGGTCAAGACTGATGTCAAGGCTGGTCAAGCAATTTGTTTAGACCATATTGTGATTATTCCAAGATTATCAAATACTCAATCAGACTTATTAAGTAAAGCTGAGACCAAATTTGAGTCTGTTGAGATTACGTTGAGTCATGTCAAATCTGTGTTCGACCAGTCAAAATATGATCTTTTTAGACTCTGAGCAGTTTGTAGTGCAATAGGACACATACTTTTGTTCTTCAAGCAAGTCATAGGACATTGAGTTTTTACAGCCCAAATCAGTAGAGGACATTCACTTTCTTCTTGTCATTACCAGCATAGGCACCGGTCCCACATGCCTGATAAATATTGCACAGTCCCTAAGCTTTATTTAAAGTCAGTTCGGCAGGATAAGTATGACTTGTTTTACCTAAAAAATATCTTATTTTTTATCACCAATCACTGATATTGTTTCAGATATTTGAGTTTTGAAAGATCGTTTAAATTTATATTCCGTCGGGAAAGAGGCTATGAAATAATTTGTTTGTTTGTGATTAAGAAGTAATTTAATGTATTGAAACAACATGCAGTGTAGAAGGTCGTACAGTAAAAGCAATATATTTTGAGAAAAAAGATGAATCTGTCATCAAACCAATAATTATTCAATAAAAGAGGCCCCTAAGCTTTATTTAAAGTCAGTTCGGCTGGATAACTATGACTTGTTTTACCTGAAAAATATCTTATTTTTCATCACCAATCACTGATATTTTTTCAGATATTTGAGTTTTTAATGATCATTTAAATTTATATTCCGTCGGGAAAGAGGCTATTAAATAATTTGTGTGTTTGTGATTAAGAAGTAATTCAATGTATTGAAACAACATGAAGTGTAGAAGGTCGTACAGTAAAAACAATATATTTTGAGAAAAAAAAACTGAATCTGTCATCAAACCAATAATTATTCCATAAAAGACAAATAATTTATCTTAAACTAACAGTATGATCGCCTAATGAATTGGTACCTTTTGTTAAGTAATCAGTGATTCATATACCCTATTTGAACACAAACCATTGAAAATGTTTTCCAGAGTATTATCTAACAATAGTTTAAGCTGTTTACCATCAGAATTATTTTCGTCGAACACCAAGCTTGAGATATTGTAAGTATAACACCAATTTTACCTCTTAGTATGATTTCAAAAGGTTAGCACTTTCGTTTTTAGAAAGGTTTAAGTTAAATAAAATGAATTTAGGCTTTTGTGTGAGCACAGTTTTAGAAACACATATTTGTATTGAAATGCTCCACATTTATACAATACAAGGTTGTATCAGCGTTGGATCGTTTATAGTTAATCTAAACTTAAATAATGTTGGTGTCCGATAATTGAAAAAAAGGTACTAATAGTCACCATTTATTAAAAGTCAGACAGAATAAAGCTTCGATTTTGAAATATCGTCTCTGTGATGTCGCGATCTCTATCACAACGTGAGGGCAAAACTTCGTCGATTAAGTTCAAGGTTTGTTCTTATACAACAAGAAATAACAATGGCTCGGTCTGTTCTCCACCATCGTCGACTCATCGTGTTGGTCTTGTTATAAAATCAAGGTAGCTTCATACAAGTTTCCGTGTCCTATCCTTGTGCTTGTTAGTTGTTTTGTATTCACTGTATTAGGGAATGTATAGACTGTTTTATGTAACAATAAATGATAGTTGCAAGTGTAAAAAACCCAGACCTAACCATTATTTCTAAACGAGAATAGTTACACTTCATCATAAATGTTAAGATCGCTTTACATATGGATACATTTATAAAGAACAAACTTTTCAAACTCAAATGAAATTATGTTAACACAAATTATTGTTATGTTTTCCAAATATTTGAATAACAATAGTTGAATCAGTTTACCCTCAGATTTGTTTATTTTCTAATGTTATCGAAGTGTATGTATATTCTATGTTTAAAACCACATTATATCTTCAAACTGAGACTTGTTGGACAAAGTTATCTTGAAGATTTCAGGAGAAACGAATGTTGTTCTCCCATCGAACCGATTATTCTAACCTAAAAATGAAATATTTTATGTCTAACATTTTGATCTCCTTACGAACTAATACGTTGATTAAGTATGGATAGTGTTATCGTTGAAATAGCTTACTTTAACACAAATCCTGCTTATTTCTTCAGAGATTTGGAGGAAAACATTTTAAGCAATTTCCCATCAGAGTTCTTTTCGTCAAACATGTACCCCGAAATTAATGTTTTTAGATATCGAATGGTATGCTGGTCTATAAATGCACCGATTGTGTCTTATTCCTGTATAGCGTTGGAGCATGTATAGAAAAAACAACATTTTTGTAAAAGATAATTTATAAACTTAAATTGGACATTATTTGTTAAGCAATTTACCTTTCAAACGACCCATTACAATAAATATATCCTCATAACTGTATAAGTTTAGCCAATACTTTCATCGGAGCCATGACGTGGTATTGGAATATTATAGGATTGTAAATATGCATTTGTTTAGCACTTTGTAATTGATGACTTGTTTGAGATTTTTTTACAGCACTTGGGTTAAATTTCGGACTGTTTAAACGGTTAGATTTGTTAAAATATATTGCAATATATCAGAATTAAGAATGAACTGCAATAGGTGGACAACACCATTTGATATAAAGTCGCTGTGAATATTTGTTTTTTTCTTTAGGGATTTAAATTTGAATGCATTAACCACAATATCAGCCAATACATTTGGGGCACTGACAAATATATCAGCTCTGTACGTATGACTTACATTTTATACTGTAATGATCCAAACTCTGTTCAGTGATCGTTTCCGTTCCGGAACTATTTTCCTTTACTCCATCAATTAGTGTAGAGTAGTATGCGGATCGGAACTGGAACTGCCGGGGAGTTCAGTAATGATCAACATAACATACGACATAAAATGAATTGCAGAAATCAATAAAAATGTCCAGTTCTTTTAAGTCCTTCTTTTGTCGTTTCATCTAGCATTATAACTTTGAGTGTACTCGCTTGTCTATCTTTAAAGGGGTACTAGCTACGAGATATATAAAAAATCTGAAATATGATTTGTTTTTGTTAAATCATTAATGAAAGCGAAAAAGTGAAATAATATATCGCTTTTAGCAGCCAGTATGGTCCAATTTTGTCAAAATAAGCTAAGAAACATTGATGATGAATTATTCGCTTGCAAGTGAATAATTCGACCTCAATGAATCCGTATTCATGTGGACTTCAATTTAACCCCTTAGCTAGAGATGGATACTGCATGCATTGTGCGTGTTCAATTATTTAAAGGAAAAGAATATCAACATTGAAAGTGAAACAAAGGTAAATCATTTGATTGACTGATTCGATCCACAAAAAATTATTCTTATACAGGTTAAAAAAGGATGATTAACATATATTTTTAATCTATAATATAAAATTAAACAGACATAGAAAAATCCAAATGCACGAGTCTGATATCTATTTATATCTTTATTTATGTTTATATCGCTTATATGGCCATCGGAGGTCTTCGGGGGTCAACTCGACAGTTAATTAGATGGCGTCTAGACTAAAATACACGCGAAACGAAGCTACATATTATCGAGCCCAAGCCCAGTATATTGTTTATTTTAGACTTTTTATAATTTGGATAATATTTTACATTGTTATTAATCAAATATGAGAATTTGAGTCAAATCGGTGAGCATGAATTTGACAGCTAGTGCCCCTTTAAAAGAAATAACTAGTTTTTTAAAACAGAAACCACATGTGCATATACCTTTTGTTTTGGAGGAAAAGAGTTAACGCCTTATTCTGTTAGCACTTGTGTATATGTTTTCCGAATTTCATGACAAAGAAAAAATAACGGAAGGATAAAATATTAACGTGTACTGAACTATTACTTTTTAGATTTGTAGAAAACAACCCATTGGTATGTTGCGATTTGAAAGATTTTATTGAATGGTTGGACCTTCAAACCAAACTTAATGAGTTTTTTTTGGGGCAGTGCACATATTTAGCTAATGATACAGATATAAGAGACTTTAATACTTCGGAATGTGTAATTCCTGGTAGGTCATATTATATATATTTCTATAATGAATGTTATTATTTCACACATGATTTCAATATAATTCACTTTAAAATAGACATGTAAGAAAAAAAAGACTTAACAATGAAGCGTATTATATACAAAATTTATCAAAAAACGCAAACGACGAAAGATGACTGAAAAAAGTGTGGAAAATAGTAATTCAATATCTACTTGATTTATGTGAGCTACACTTAACAAGTGTGCTCTTTATGAGACAGGTCAATGCTTTTTTCTGATGTTATTATAAAGATCCATGATTAACCTCAATGAAGTTTTATTGTAAAAAGTAAAATAACAAACATACCAAACTCCAATGAAAATTTAAAATGGAGAGTCCCTTAAAAAATCAAAAGCTCAATTACTTCAAACGAATGAAAAACAACTGTCATATTCCTGACTTAGTAAAGGCATTCCCTTAATTCGAAAATAGCCGACTATCAGTTTTCATTCCAGGATTAAAATTAGGTAATCTAATTTTGTTTACACAGCCCCTCACGCAGTGTTTTTTTAAAGGACTTTGAGGATTGAAATATATTTTTGAAAGCCGCTTAACAATATGAGTCAGAAATATTGAAATAGTCTTTTGAAATTTTTAGTTTTGTCTTCGGTCAAGTATTTTGCGAATAATAGGGATAAATTGAATTAGGTTTCAAACCTACCAAATCTCCTGTATGAATGAACTATGAAACTTGGAGTCAGTGTTCCGTATAAGAGGTGCATGATTGGTTTGATAAGCATGCACTTTTGTTGTGATAACTAATTACACTTATTCCTCGAACGCCTACATAATTTACAGGTAAATTGCCAGTAGATTAAAGGATGTTGGCATTCAAGGAATAAACCGTACATACATCACGTACAGTCAAACGGTTGACATCATAAAGTTGTTGCAAGAGCTCTTTATGCCAATGCTGTTAGTAAAATTAGTTAAAAAAATGACTATACGTGATGCCAAGTGAATACAGGTGAAAATATAAAAATATCATGCTCTGAAAACATCATATGTATATCGCAAAGATTTTTTTTAACAAATGTATACTGTTAATATCCAAAACTGTACATTAATGATTCCGTTTCTACACTCTGGAGTTCATCTCCAATATTTGGTTAGATTATGTTAATCAGTCTATATTTTTCTATGTATTGTTTATTGACTTAGTTTGAAATGTTGTCTTTCTTTTTAGACGTTTTTTTTATTGCCTCCTATGTATGACCTAAAATATCCTATCTGGAAGTAGACCAATAAGACTTTTTAAATTTAAATCTCGATTAATAAGTAAAATCTATAGAACACTATTTATTTTATATTTAATTTGATATAACGCCTGTCAATTGTGTTTACAGAATCGTGCAAGCATGGCGACAAAAATAAAAGATCAGGTAAATGTTATATTCTACTATGCTATATTCATACTACGTTAACTATTAAATCAGCCCTAAAAGTCATATGAAACTTCAAATGAAAAAAAAAGTGATTCATATGTTTTTTATAACTAAATGGCTAGTTTTTAATATAAAACTTATGTATATATACTTTTTTCTCAAGAAAATTCTATAATTTGTCTAAATTTAGAAGAAATATACTTTTTTTTAATTGTTTGCTTTCATTATACAATTCGCCGATATGTTTTCCGTATGCAGTGAACTCAGCGTGACCTTTCTCGTAAAAATCCGGTGGTCGCAATACGCATGTCATTGAAATAAACTATTACATCTTATTATACATGCTATACACGTGCTCAATATCCACGCTTCTTTGTTGATTGTTTACAAAGGTGACAATCGGTAAACTACGGCTTCAAAACACGACAATTAATAAGCTGCCATATTTTCACATCATAACAGACTGAGAGAATTTTTGTTTGACGATTATACGATATGGATGCGTAAAAAATGATAAAATCGTGCACAGAAGACTAAGTTTATGTATATACATGCATTGTTTTAAGAATTGGATAAACATTGACCAACATTATTTTTCACCAGTCACTCGTTTCATATGACTTTAAAGAGAAAAATAATATTAATCCCATTAACACTGTGTCTAAACTACCCCGGCAAAAAATGTTTGGACTCGATAGTATCTAATGTCCGGTACGGTGACGGACAATCAACAGACAGAGAAAAGGTAGAATTTCTGTTTATTTATTTGTTATTTAATGACATTGAAGAATAAACATACACATATAACTATTTTCGATTGTGTGATGTAATATTTTCTACAACCGTTCTAGATTAATGGAGAAATAAATAAAAAGGCACACGAAAATGGTGAATTGAGTGAATATTGCTACGAATTTGTTTAATTTCTCTTTAAATTGTGCACATTGTACGGAAAGAAAAGTACGGAAAGAAAGATATTAACACAGAGATTGCATGGCTAGTCACTATGAGCACCTCAATATTTGCATTTCTATGCATGGAACGAAATAAATGGGTCATGTCAAAATGGAAGGACCCTGTTTCGTCAATGTTGTTTATTACACAAGGACCCTGTTTTGTCTCAGTATAGGACCCGGTTTTGTTTTGTTTTGAAACCACAAATTTATGAAAAGCTACGTTAGCACGGATCTGGACATTGTCCATCGGAAGAAATTAAATATTTGAGTCAAAAAGATGTTATAAAGATGTTATTGCAATACAAACATGTGTTAAAATATATTTCAAACGGGAACTTTTCGAAATAGGGAGTAGACATTTTTGAATGCTATACGTATACCTTATTGATCTTATCTTCGAACTAAGTTTAAATGGAAATAAATACTTTATATCATGTACTTACATTAATTCCTTATGATAGAAAAAAGAAGATGTGGTGTGATTGCCAATGAGACAGCTCGTCACAAGAGATCAAATGACACAGAAATTAACAACTATAGGTCGCCGTACGGCCTTCAACAATGAACAAAGCTCATACAACATAGTCAGCAATAAAGGCCCCCAAATGACAAGTGTAAAACAATTCAAACGAGGAAACTAACGGCCTAATTTATGTACAAAAAAATGAACGAAAAACAAATATGTAACACAGCAACAAACGACAACCACTGAAATACAGGCTCCTGGCTTGGGACAGGTAAATATATACAGAATGGGGCGGGGTTAAACATCTTAGCGGGATCCCAACCCTCCCCCTAACCTAGGAAATTGGTGTAACAGTACAACATAAGAACGAACTAATAAAATCAGTTGAAAAAGGCTTAAGTCATCAGATGGATACAAATAGAAATACATATCAAAATGTTTGTTTGTTTTCTATACTACTGTAATGATGTAAAAATAAGAAGATGTGGAATGATTGTGTTACCATATCAATTTATCAAAAGAGTAAGGATAGTATGCTTTACTACACTATACGCTATGTTTACAAAATATTTACTCATTCGTTCATCCATTGACGGACAGTGAGAGAAAAAGCTCCGTTTTGAAGGCCGTACTTTGACCTATAATTGTTTACTTTTACAAATTGTGACTTGGATGGAGAGTTGTCTCATTGGCACTCATACCACATCTTCTTATATCTATTAGAACGTTTTGGATATCTCAATCAAAATGGTTGCCTTTCGAACGTGTATTTTATGTCCGCTTCGAAATACACAAGTTCTAAACTTCCCCATTAGAAACAAAATAATTCTATCATGCCATGCTCTACGCTCATTTTAACATAGGTAGACATTATATTTGTCAATATTTTATACCTGGCTAACGCTTGGTTTAAAAATTTTAACAAATATAATGCCTGCCTATGTTAAAATGAGCATTGAGCATGGCATGAAAGAATTATTTCTTTTTATAAATAAAAGTTGGTTTGCAACATTATAACGTCCAATATCTTCGTCTTCGTCTTAGTAGAACAACCTAATAGGCAATTTAGTCCGTGAAAAATGACAATGAGACAACTTTCCATTAGAGACCAAATGACGTATAAGTTAACAAATATAGAACACCGTATGGCATCCAACAATGAGAAACGTCCATACGGCATAGCAAGCTAAAAAAGGCCCCGAAATGAAAACTGTAAAAAAAAACTAATGTGGAAACTAACGACCTAGATTTATGTACAAAATAAAAAAACGAAAAACAAATACATGTATGATATATAGCAACAAAAGACAACAACCGATTTACAGGCTCCTTCGGTACTGGTACATACAGAATGGCGAGGTTGAACGTGTAACCCCCCCCCACGCTCCCCCTCCAAAAAAAAAAAAAAAAAAGTTGTATAACAGTACAACATATGAACAAACTATAAAATTCAGTGAGTTGAAAAAGGCTTAACTCATTTGATTACAGAGCCCCTATAGTAAATATGGGATTGGCGGCTGTCTCTGTTTTTTCGTCTTTTTTTAAATTTTATGATGGTATACGATATAGTTACATTATATCAGTGGCGGATCCAGGGGAGTAGAGGGAGTACGCCGACCCCCCCCCCCCCCCTTTTTTGGTGGCTAGAAATAATTATTTTATCATGTTTTTTAGGATTTATATATGATTTTTTATTTAGCATTAAATCGTTAAAAAAAGTTCCCCTTGCTACGCTCGGCGGTATAAAATCCGTTTATGAATACGTCCCTTTCAAAAATCATGGCCTCGGTCCGCCCTTGCATATTGACAATTTTAAACTTGACCAAATTGCTTAAATTGTAGAACATTTGTCAATGTACGATAATCATTATACAATGAAGAGATAAACCTATATATAATAGTTGTACTATATAGGGCAGTTGTTAACAACTTGATACTAGTGCATTAAAGAATTTGTTAATGCTAAAAAAAAAAAAAAAGAAAAAAAAAAGAGAGATGAAACATCGTTTATTTATATAAATTACTAATCAAATAATCATTATTGCAATTTCCGGATGGCCTAAGACTTTTATACTAATTTATACTTAGTATTATTATAACAAGGAGGGGTAAACAGATTTTTAACGCACTATTATTGTGATCCTTTGCGCCGCATGGAAATTCCTTTTCTTGGGCGATTCTGCATGCACATACATTTGTCTTATTCTCTTGCATTATAATGAACGTTTAGTTTCAGAATATTTATTTTCAAACGATTATACTGTCTTCCCTTTAAGTAGAGCGGAACACTAAGATAACCATCTTGTTGTCCCAAAAAATCACATATCAAATGTGTCCTTAAATTTTCAAGGCCGTACCCTAATTAAGTTTGAACACTTAAATTTACATAGATGATATAAAAAAAAATCTAATTCCGTTTCAAAACCTTCATTTCTTTTTAATTTTTCTTTTTTTTTTATACAAAACAAAATTGAAATTTGCTTTGTTCTAATATAGCAGGAGTTCAAGTGTTTACGGATTCAAAAAGGTTATAAGTTATCCTCTGAAAGAAAATGTTTTTCAACGATCCCTCAAACTGCTGTTGAACGCCATATTTTAATTTTCGTCATGCGATTATGCATTATTTTCTATGACAAAACCGGGTCTGCTTTGTGAAATATAAGGACAAAACCGGGTCGTACACATTGACAAAACCGGGTGCTTCAATTTTGACATGACCCACTTCTTTCATTCCATGCACAGACATGCAAATATTGAGGCGATCATAGTGAAAAGTCTTGAAATCTCCGTGTTATTATCTTTCTTTCCGTACCTTTCTTTCCGTACAATGTGCTCAATTTAAAGAGAAATTAAACAAATTCGAGGCAGGGTTCACTCAATTCACCATTTTGATGTGCATTTTTACTTATTTCTCCATAAATCTAGAACGGTGGTAGAAAATATTACATCACACTATCAAAAATAGTTATATGTGTATGTATATTCTTCAATATCATTAAAACAACAAATAAATAAACAGAATTTCTACATTTCTCTGTCTGTTTATTGTCCGTCACCGTACCGGACATTAGATACTATTGAGTCCAAACGTTTTTCGCCGGGGTAGTTTAGATACAGTGATTAAGCCACCCAAAAAATCAAATACAAATTTTACACATTAAAAATATAAAAATTCGCAATGATAATATCATACATGTATCAAAATTGTCCTTTTTATTCTTTTTTAATTTCTATTAATTGTTTTATTACACATTCTTTTTGTTTAAACCAAATAAAGCATACAATTATCAATAATAAAATCATGACAATGACAACAATACATAAACAAATAAAGGATTTTTAAAGTATTTTTCTACTATTTTTTTGCTCTAGATGGAGAATGGAAGATCCCAAGAAAATGGAAAAGAAAACTTCACCATTGATTTCTGAGTTGAAGAGCAGTATGGAGTACAAAGTGGAGGGACACTGGACTTCAGAAGTACACCCGGAGGGACACGGGACTTCATCATAAAAACACAACTGTAGGGATAAATAAAAACTGTTTCTCATATTACTTTTTGGGATGTTCTATTTCATATATTGCCTCTCCTTTGAAATCTTTTCTATATATTTTCTATGTATTATTTTCTCATTACATTTTTATATTTAATTGAAAAAGTGGGTTTTGGTTTGTGTCCTGGTTCTTTTCAATACATTATATTTTCTCATTCAGCTTAAATTCTTTATGTCGTTTACTTGTGTATATGGAAAATATTTGTCATACTAATTGGGGATACATTGTAGGAATATGATATGGTATCTGTAACATTGAATTCCATAGGAATGATTTATTTGCCTTTTTTTTTTAATAAAAGTTGATGTGCATTTGATTGTTTGTAGTTTTGTACTCTTGTTTAAAAACCCTGAAAATGGTAACACAAAGAACTCTGATTAAACCGATATCAATAGCATCTTATCTTGCTGCTTATCGATTTCGCTGTTTACAGTTTATAAATGTCTTTGACATGGTTCAAGCAAATATCCAAAACTCAATCGCAAGGGAAGTTTTATAATTCAAGTGCGGTTTAGGAGTAGATGGACAATTATAAGCCTATTTATTTAGATGGAGTTCTTCGTTTCCTGATGATATTTACTGCTCACAGTGTCTCTCTCTTTCTATAATTGTTTTTTAGATAATCGCCAAAAACGCAAGAAATTGAATTGTTAAAATCATCATTTAGAGACAAAAACTTCTATAATAACATGAATAGTTTGATTGACAGTCTTGGTAATTTTGTGGATTATATTTTGAAGTGTCCCCCCTAACTATTATAGTCTTCAAGAAAACAGGCTAAACATGCAAAATGGCTTTACTCGAAATTCAAGGGCAAAGAGTCTATCTACAAATTCCGTTATTTTCTATATTATATATTATAGATTTAAAAAAAATAGTAAAAATGAAAAAGTGAAAAAATAAGGTTTAAGGGTAAGAACTGTTACATACTTTATGGTTCAGTCGGGCATTGATAATAAACTACGTTCTAAAATAATACACTTGTATATCGTCAATCACCAACACATGTTCATGTACAAGTATTACAGAGAAACAACTACAACTATTGTCGGAAACAAACCAGGAATGTATTGTACGAACTATATTTTAAATCTGGTAAGGGAAGATAACGCTCTCTCTATACATATGTTAATTGGGCAAACGACTAAACTTAATATAACACATGGAGTCAATTGTTGGTTTTAATCCAGCTGGTTTATTTGTTGATCTTATCTTACTGACCATTTTTGCTCCTCGTAGTTATTCTCTACATGCTATATTTTAAAGATAATTGCAAAAAACGGAAAAATTTGATACAAACCTTCATCAGGGCAATAACTTCTAAAAACAAAAAGAGATACCAGAGGGATATTCAAACTCATAAGTCGAAAACAAACTGACAATGCCATAGCAAAAAAAAACAAAAAACGACGAAAAGACAGACAACAGTACACAAAGCACAACATAGAAAACTAAAGACTGAGCAACACGAACCCAACCAAAAACCGGTGGTGATCTCATGTGCTCCGGAAGGGAAAGCAGATCCTGCTTGACATATAACATCCGTCATGTTGCTCATGCAAATACAAACCCATTGACAAGTTTAATTCGATAGGTCACATTCGAGGAATAGAGGAGGGGATTGTGGTAACAACAATTATAAGAAGTCAATAAACAATCCCTTCATTTTATTATTTAACCAGTAAATCATATCTTGCTAAACATTATAATTTGGCACACAGAGGAAAAAAATCGACACTTTAGGCCTAAACATATTTAACCCATGTAAGATTTCGATCATGTTTTAATTTTTGTTTACCTTATCGTGCTGATCATTGGTGTTAACAGTTTCTCTCTGTATTGTATTGTTTTTAAGGAAAATAGCAAACATCGCAAAAATTGTAATTCAAAGGCAATAACTACCTAAAGAATTCGACCAACAATGTCAGTTATGTTGACTAATTTGCAGATGTTGATACAAGTTATATTTTGTACTCTTTACAGTGTCTCTATAATTATTATAGTTTACGAGAAAATGGCTAAAAAAAAAAACGCTACAAATTCCCCACAATGGTGATTGAAGAAGCATTCCGTCATTCACGTGTGAAAAAAGTAAAATAACAAAACATAAATACATCAAACGAATGGGAAACAACTGTCATATTCCTGACTTGGTACAGGCATTTCCGTATGTAGAAATTGTGGATTTAACCTGGTTTTATAGCTAGCTAAACCTCTCACTTGTATGACAGTCGAACTACATTGGATCATTTCTTCGATTAAAAATGCCCCAAAAAAATAATAGGGAAATATACCATCTTCAATAATGAGCTAGAAAATAAATTGCGAGTTACAATATTAGTAGTTCTCTTTAAAATATATGTTTAAATGTGTACTGTGTCACCGAAAGAAATGTCCGGGTTGTAGAAATATGGAAACATAGTCTTCTCTAGGTTGGTTCCCTCAGTAAAATATTCAGTATGCCTTCATGCTTGTCAATAACGATCGGGTACCAGTCTAAGTCTTCTGTAGCCTGCAGTAAAGCCCTTTGCGGGATGTATTAATATGCTTCCACGTCAGGTATGAATGAAACGTGAAATCATGTACTTCGTGTAGGTCGCCTTCTACACGAGTATCAACCCTAGCAGTTCCTCTTTGTGGAGTCTGTAATTGAATTGTAATAAACAAATAATGTTCTTATCTAACGGTCTCGTTTTCTAGTTTCTGTCTTATTTTTATCAAGCCCCTCATTTCAGTCGACCCACTTTACAGAAATAACTCCGTATTATAATACATGATTTGTTCTTGTACTGAAAATACATCAAATATTTGTCACTGTACATTAAACAAACAACAATTAATCAAAAATTCATTTTAGAAAAACGTGCTAAGTTATGGCTTCAAGCCTTCTGACATCAAAGGTTTTAAACTGGCTAAATATTTTATTCTAGTTTTTCCTTGGATTCTTTTACAAAAATGTAACCAAACAAATTGGGAAGATCCCATTGTTTGTTTTGTTGTTTTGCTTATTTATTCATCTTTATTTCAATCTTTAAAAAAAAAATTGTCATATGAACCTTATCTTTTTCCGTGGGTTTGATAACAAGAAAGGATAATTACCAAGAAAATAAGCCTTTGACATTGTTTTTATTGTTTGCAATCCATCCGATTAAAAACTGTGACATTGGCCTTTCAAAATCCGAAGAAAAAGTAACAAACGCCATCGCAACACCCCCCTTCCCCCAACCACACACACACACAAACAAAATGACACTAGAAAAAAAGAGTAAATAGAAAATGGAAAGTTAGCAATTTAAACCAACCCAAAAACAGTGGGTGATCTCCGGTGCTTCTGAAGAGTGAGCAGAGACTGCTTCACACGTGGTGCCCTTTGTAATCAAAAACCCAAAACATTGATAGGTAAAACTGTATTCAAGAAATAGTCTTGCAACATTATACTCACGGCAATTCATGAATCTGATCTAATTTGTTGACTTGGAATGTCATTTTCCTCGCGCAGCGACGTTTTTAAAAATGTGTATAAAGTCGCGTTTGAAGTGGTGTCCGTGAATACCTGTCCCGTGCCATTTTTTTGTTCAGTAAACTGGCCGCCCTTTTAGATGAAACTAGGAAAACTATTAAAGAGGACATTCAAATCAAAAGCCGAATAGAAAATACAAATCCAACTTTGTGAATATGAAATCATGAGGGCAATACTCAACCATTCCAAAGCAACATAAAAAGTTGAAAGACAAAAATTAAGATCCGTAAGAAGTTAATTGAAGTTTATATAGAAAATCAACATACTAGTTTATTGCACAATATAAGAATTATAACTTTTAATTTCTGGTCAGCAATGCTCCGCTCTATAGGTAAGTCTCGATTGTTTAGGCACAATTTATTCTAAAAAATTAAAAACCTCAAACAAAGACTTTGAACTAGCTTCCAGTAACGACCAGGGAAGTCAGGAGTCTGACTGTAGTTCAGTGGTTGTCGTTCGTTGCTTTTTACCATTTTTGATTTTGTTTATTGTATTTTTTTTCATAAATCAGGTCGTTTGTTTTGTTTTACATTTGTCTTTTCGGGGCCTTTCAAAGCTTGATATGCGGTAGGCATTTTGATCATTGTTGAAGGGCGTACGATGACCTATAGTTGCTGACCTTCTACGTCATTTGGCGATGGTGAAACATTGTCTCATTGGCAATCATACCACATCTTCTTATTTTTATACAAATAACAAAAACAACAAAAACAACAAAAAACAAGCGCAAGAAAATATGTGCCCGGAGACTTAAAAACGAATATAACACTAGATAAATATAGAAAAAGGTTCGCGCAAAAGCAACATACGAAAACCAGAGATGAATAAATACGTAGAAACGTTGGGAGCTATTTGAACAAAAAGAACCAATTCAGAATAGCCCGGCTAAAATCATCTTTGCATGAGAATGTTAAAACCTTGATTTCGTAATAAATTCTTAATTCATCAAAATAATGTATACACAATTCTATACCAATATCAAAGTTCTGTAGATCAAAACCAAAGCTCTTGCTACAAGATAGGGGATACAATTTGATGATAGACTATCGTTTGATGAACGTCCAGTGGCAATTATTTCAGGACGAGATACAATTTAACATATATTTATATTTTGTTATTCATAAATTTGATATATTAAGCAGAAATTTTCCGTGTGCACGGAACATCTTATCTGTTGAATTGAATTAAATTACAAACAGGAAGCGAGAATGGTGCTTACCATAAAATAATTATGGTGCCATCGCAAAGGGTTCCTCTTTTTTTCTTCTTCCTTTCTATGTTGTGTTATATGTACTGCTTTTTTTTTTGTCTTTTCACTTTTTACCATGGTATTGTCAGTTTGACGGGATTGCTTCCCTTAGAAATTTAGTAGATACTTAGTCAGCCGTAAGCGGTTGAGCTAACGAAGTACTTCTTTAGCTCAGTCGGTACACGCGCTGCCTTGTAACACAGAGGTCCCAGGTTCGAGTCCCGGTGGAGACATGCGATTTTGCAAGTAGAATCATGCTCTCCGGTTACATCAGTTTGTTTTCGAGTTATGAGTTTGAATATCCTTTCAAGGTATCTTTCGCCTCTCTTCTCAAGTTAGATTTTGTCAATTGTTTTAACTGATAGATGTTGTCCTTTTTATTCCCGTATATTATCTGACATCTGTACGCTTATTACTATTCGTCTAAATCCGTTCTGTAATTTCTTTTCTTTATGATTGATGTCTAATTGAATTTAACACCACTTCTCATTTTCCATTATCAATATCATGTTATCTATGACTGTTAATAAAATCTTAACATTAAAAC